GAACGGATGGGGGTGCCGGGCAGGCGCAAACAAGAGGCCGCCTGAGCTTTCTAGCACGCCCCGCTCCTCTGGCCCTTTTAGGCTAAGGGTTCCCTGCAGGCAGCAGTACTGGCCCCGTCTTCCCAGCTGGGGTCTCCTTTGCGATGGCCTGGATGCCAACTTCTCGCCCCAGGCTTGCCTGCCCAACTTCCTAATGACCCTCTCATGATGATGCCACTCAGGGACTTGGATCAGCCAACAAACCCCTGAGGACAGGCAGGAGTGCAGCAAAGGGTAAGAGAGGACAGCTCTGCCCAGCGGCAAAGCAGCATCCCACGTGCAACCACCGGTTCAAGTCCCGGCTGCTCCACTTCCAATCCAGCTCCCTGCCAGTGCGCCTGGGAAAGCAGCAGATGATGGCCCGAGTATTTGGGTCTCTGCTGCCCATGTTGGAGAGACAGATGGAGTTTCTGGCTCCTGGGTTTGGCCTGGCCCAGTCCCAGCCATTGTAGTCGTTTGGAGAATGAACCAGCAGATGGAAGATCTGTCTCTTTCTCTCTGCCTTTCAAATAAATAAATAAATCTTGAAAAACAAAGAAAGAAGGGAGGAAGGGAGAGGGATGGCATTGAGCTTCTGAAGACCACGGCTGGGAAGGTTGTGTGGCGATATCTCTATAGCAGCAGATTATCATTCATTCATTCATTCATTCTTTCACTGTTTACTGTATGTCTGGTATTGTGCAGGCTGCTAGGCAAAAATGACACTTGAGAAATACAAGATCTTGGGTCTAACTAGTATATTTTTAAAAAAAGATTTATTTATTTAAGGCAAGAGTTAGAGAGAGAGAGAGAGAGAGCGAGCAAGAGAGCTTCTACCCTCTGGTTTACTCCCCTAATAATAGCAATGGTCCAGGCTGAAGCCAGGAGCCAAGAGCTTCATCCAGGTCTCCCATGTGGGTGCAGGTGTCCAGGCCCGTGGGTCATCCTCCGCTGCTTTCCCAGGTGCAATAACAGAGGGCTGGATCGGAAGTAGAGCAGCCAAGACTGGAACTGGTGACCATGTAGGACGCCAGCTACAGCACCAGCTCCAAGCATAACCAGTATTAAGATTAGCAGGTATGTGTAGGTCAGCTACTAAAAGCAGGCTGTCAGTAAGGCAAGATTTGGTTGACCCTTCCACCATTTCCAGGTGAATGAGACCTAGATGGGGCAGGGACACATAGCTTGTGTAGTGTCTCCAAGACCGGCACCTGATTGCCTCTCAGATGTGTCCAGGAGGAAGAGGTGATAATAATCAGAAAACAGCCGCGATGACCGTTTCCTGCGTGCACAGGGCACTGTGCCAGAGCCAAGGGCAACCCACAGGTGACGCCTCGCATCTTCTCCCCCAGCCATGCAAGATGTGGACTTCTTATCCCTATGGATGTGGACGGGACACCGAGGCTCCAAAAGCCTTCGGGAGCCTGCCCGAAACTGCACGGCCATCACGGGGCAGCATGGGGATGGGCGTCCAGGTCTGTCTGATGGCAGAGCCCGGGTCTGCCTACTTGTGCGTTAAGTCAGAGACTGCGCTTGTCTGCCTGGCTCTCCGGCCACTTACTGCAAACCTCAGCCCGCGTGTCTGGAGCCTGGCTGGCCACCGCCAGGAGTTGCTCTGTGCTCCGCCTGTCCGCTCTGTGCTGGGGGCTGGACTGGGCCAGTGGAACCAGAGCAGACCCCAGGAATAGATCTTGTCCCCAAGTAGGGTCATCTGTGAAAGCCGGGCGCCTGAGGACGCTTCTCCCTCCGCGCCTCCAGGCAGAAGCTTGGCACGGGGAAGGCTGCTCCACCCACTCGGTTTCCTGGCCCGTGATGGCACTCCCATCTGGCTCATTCATCCTTGTATTCATTCAACAAATCATTACTGAGCACCGGCTCCCCACCTTACAGTGGACAAGGGAGCTGGAGATGGCCTGGACGAGAGAAGAAGCGCTTACAAGAGACACTTAGAAAGGTGGACCGCGATGAGGACCATGGGAAAGCAGAGCGAGCCCCCCGTGAGTGTGAGAGGGACGATCCCCTCCCCTCCGACTTGGCAGGAGTGGGGGAGGGCAGTGCAGGAAGGAAAGTGTCCAGGAAGCGGAACTGGAGCTGGGCAGGATCTGAAGATGTGCAGCCACAGAGAAGGGCAACGTAGGTGGTGGGAATGGTGTGAGCCAAGGCCCGGGGTGGCGATGCCCAGGGCTGCCTGGGGAACTGGCAGTGTGGGGTCGGCTTGGTCAGTGGGTGGGCCGGCTGGCGCCATGCTGTGAGCCACATGGTGGGGCCCAATGCCACAACAGCCTCGGCCCAGCCCCTCTGCAGTGGCTTTGGGAGGGTGGGGATGGGCCCAGAGGTCCCAGCCCCTCAGTTGCTGGGTGCACTGGGAGCACTCCTCCTGCCTTGGCCTTGGCAGCCTGTCGTGCTGCTCTTCTTTATTTGTTTATTTATTTTTTAAGATTTACTTATTTGAAAGGTGGAGTTAGAGAAGAGAGAGAGAGATCTTCCATCTGTTTGTTCACTTCCCAAATGGCTGCAATGGTTGGAGCTGGACAGGGCCAAAATGGAGTAGCCGGGACTCGAACGGGTGCCCATTTGGGTTGCTGGCAGTGGCTCAACCCACTGTGCCTGTCATCCTCACAAGGCCCCCACTGCTGTTCTGAGAATCCCTTACCTGCTCCCACAGTACCTCCTGGCCGAGTCAGCCCAGCACCTGGTGCGTCAGGGTGGGAGGCAGGTTTGGCTTGGAGAGTATCTCATCCAGCGACTAAAAATAACAACAACTTGTAGGCTCCCATTACTCAGCTGGAATCCCAGAACTTCCCCACAGAAAACCCACACAGTGCTGGTGACAGCAGGGTAGGGACTCCCACCCTGTCCCCACGTCGCTCCTGGGACACCCCTGGGAATCAAGGACTCAAGGAACACCACGGCGCTGTGGTGCAGCGGGTTAAAGCCCTGGCCTTCAGTGCTGGCATCCCATATGGGCGCCAATTCTGGTCCCAGCTGTTCCTCTTGTGATCCAGCTCTCTGCTGTGGCCTGGGAAAGCAGTGGAGGATGGACCCAGGTCATCCGGGGCCCCTGCACCCACGTGGGAGACCAGGAAGAAGCTCCTGGCTCCTGGCTTGGGATCAGCGCAGCTCCAGCCATTGCAGCCATCTGGGGAGTGAACCAGTGGATGGAAGACCTCTCTCTCTCTGTGTCTCTACCTCTCTCTGTAACTCTTTCAAATAAATAAAATAAATCTTAAAAAAAAAAGAAAAAGAAAACCACTGATCCACCCCATGTTCATCTTCCTATGTTCATCTTCCCGGCGAGGAATCAGAAACCAGAAGAGACACAGGGTGCAGACGGCCTGACCACTGGCCCAGGGAGCGTTGTGCCTGATAACGGTGGTGAGGTGCGGCAGTGGGTGGGAGGGACTCTGCCTCAGTGCCTGGAGAAGGTGGGTGGCTCCCCAGGACTCGCAGCCCTCCCCTGGGCAGCAGTGCCCGGGGCGGCCGTGGCTGCTGCAGTTCCAAACACCTGACTCTGGGCCTGCTGGCAGCTGTGCTGGCTTCTCTGTGGCTTCGTGCTGGGCCAAGCCCTCCTTGGCCACACACATCGGAAATAGAGGCTGGTCAGATAAACCACTCGCAGGCCTTCCAGTTCCAGGTGGAGAGAGCTCAGCGAGTGTGTGTGCACGTGCATGCATGTCCGTGCGTGTGTGCACACACATGTATGTTCATGTGTGTGCATGCATGTGTTCACATGCGTGTGCGCATATGTATGTTCACATGTGCATGCATGTGTGTGCCTGCACGTGTGTGTTTGTGTGTGCACGCATGTGTGCGCACGCACGTGTGTGTTCGTGTGTGTATGCATGTGTGTATGTGTTCGTGTGTGTATGCATGTGTGTCCGTGTGTGCATACACGTGTGAGTGTGTGTATGTGTGTTCGTGTGTGTGCATGCATGTGTGTGTATGTGTGTTAAGTGTGCGTTGTGAGGCTTCTGGAGAATGTGGAGGAGCAGGGCAAGGCTGGGGGCAGAACTGTGAACTATTACCCGGCCACTGCTCCCTAGTTTTCTGCCCCTCCCTTGAGGCTGTGAGAGCCTGGACTCCTGGTCTCGGGGCCTAGCACAGGGCCTGCTGCACGGCAGGGGCATGGGAAATATCTACTGTGGGATTCTGGTGACAGCGGGTGTGCCCGTGACCTTGCTTCTGGGTGAGGTCGTCTCAGCCAACACCAGGGCTGCCCTGGGTCTGACATCTTCCCACTTCCTCGTCTCCTGCAAATAAGGAGCAACAGCTCAGAAGCCCTGGCCGTGTGTCAGAGGGAAGCCGTGAACACACGGGGCCACCTTGCCCACTTCGTCCTCGTCAGCCCTGGGGCATCACCCACAGCTTCCCTCTTCAAAGCCCCCTGACCCTGGGTGGGTCCCCCCAGGAGAGGGGACAGTGGTACCTCTGCTGGCAGCTCTGGGAAACAGAATCATTCTGACGGCTGGCCACGGCAGAGGCTGCTCTCCGGGGCTCCGCAACTCTGGGCTCCACGCCCAGCCTAGCACAGGGATAAAGAGCTCCCAGCTCAAGGCTCACCTTGTCTGTCACAGGGTCTGGACAGATGTCCCCAGCTCCTTACACACATATGCAGGGAGGGGACAAGCTGGGACAAGCACATGAACCTTCTCAAAGACTCGTGGCTTATGAGAAACCTCCCCAGCCCAGAGCCCACTTCCTGCCCACCATCCCAGAGACACTTGCTCCTGAGTGCCAGGTGCACAGACAGCCCCCTGCCGCGCACCCAGGACTTCTCACAGGCGATCTTGGGACGAGGCAGGTACTGCTGCCTCCTCCCCGTGAAACGGGGCCAGCTGCCTCGCAGCGTCAGCCTCGCCCCATCCCAATCCTGGCAGCTGGCTCCAGCTGCTTACAGGGGCTCCCCGCTGGGGTCTTCAGGGTTCTGATGGAGGGTCTTTTCACCCCCAGCTGACCGGGCATCAAAGACAACACAGGAGTGGTGACAGGGCTGGAAAAGCAGGTCCACTTTATTTACAATGATCATGGTGACACATGGGTCTTTGGGTTTTGTGTGGCCTCTGGAGATGCCTGGGCAGGGCCCACTCCCTCGGTGGGGTTAACACCCCTCCCTCTGCTAGGAAACTCTGGGGTCTACCTGCCCTGACCAGCCTCAGCTTGAGGACACCTGCCAAAGGTTCTCCTTACCTCCTTCGGAAGTGCCACCTTGGTCCTGGTTGTGGGGTACCTGTTGGGCACCCTCCCTCCCCCGCACATCTGTCGGCAGATGGAGGGGGTGAGTGAAGGCCACCCTAAGAGGAGGGGCAGCTGCCTGCTTGCAGACCTGTGGCCTGGCCTCATCTGTTGAACTTGGTAAAGCCCTCCCCTTGCTCTCCAGAGTCTCAGGAATCCTCCAAGGGGCAGGGAGGCCCAGCAGGGGGCCTGAGGATTCTTCCCTATGGGTGCGACCACAGAGCCAGTGCCCCTCCTGGGCCTGGCCTTAGCCGCCCCCAGCCGCCTTGCCCTCCCCATGCCCCGTGCTCTCCAGGGTCCTTTTCACCACAGGGAGGACCGCTAGCCGGACCAAGGGCAAAGCCACCGCCTCCACCTGGCCAGAGTACAAACCCATCCTCCTGGATTTCTGGAAACTTCTTTCCCCCTTCTCTCGAAAAGGTCTCTGGGGAGGGAGCAGGGTGGTCGTGGGCAGCTGCGGTGCAAAGCTTGGGAGGCAGTTCCACTGTGGAGGGCCCCGGGCAGCTCCGGGTGTGGGCAGAGGTGAGTACGCCCCTCCCCCCACAGTCAAGGGCAGGGCAGGTGGCACCCTGAGCCAGGAGGAGGCAGAGGGGCGGAGGAGGGCCACAGCCCAGACCAGGAGGGAGGCAGGGCCAGGGACCGGTGGGGAGCCGAAGCGGGCAGGGCCGGGGTTAGAGGCGGTGAGTCCGGCGGGCCCGGGTCTGAGGCCGGGAGTCCTGCCCCCAGGGCTCTCAGCGCGCCTGGCCCGCGCGCTCCCTGGCGCCGGCCTTCCAGCGGCGGGGCTGCGCGGGCGGCGGCGGCGGCGGCGGCGGCGGTGGCGGCGCCGGGACGCCCCGCAGGCTGCACGTCCTCAGCTCCCGGGCCTTGCTGAACACCTCCTACACTCGCGCTGGGGAATCTCTCCCTTTCGATCCAAAAGAAAATCAACATACTCCTATGTTTATACGGATGGAGGACGTTCGCTTCCTACCTCAGTCATCTTAAATAAGGAAGAAGAATTCAATATTTGTTTGAACCAGAAACATATGCATAATACCAAAAGATGTATCTTTTATTTTCCCTAATCCCCCTATTGCCAT